TTTTTAGGTTTTTTTTTTTGTTTCTCCTTTTTGTGCACGAGCGTTTCCCCAGCCCTTCAAACGCTGCAAGGAGAAGGCACGAAGTTTTGAGGAGCGCAATTAAACAGGCATTAGGGGAAACTCCCGAGGGAGACGGGGGACTCTCCCCATCTCTCCCTCAAAGAGATGGGACGTTTCTGGAAAACACATCCCAGTCAAACCAGTTGCTGGGTTCACTGCTGGAGTAACCACGAGGAATTCGTGGCACATCCCATGGATGGGAACGGTCCCTTCCGACCCCAGGGTGGCAGAAGACGACCCACACAGCGTCAACAGGGAGTGAACTCTTCCTTAGAAGAGCAGCAGAGAAGGAAATTTAATTGTTTCCCAGCACTGAAGTTGTTCTGCAGATTTTTTTTCCATCCAACAAACTCCGAAAAAAAAAAAAAAACATCTATCTTCTGTAACAAAAAAAAAATATTCCCAACTCTTCCCCCCATTTGCCCTCCCCCATGCAATTTCCTTTGGGGAATTAATTCTATAAACATCTTTCAATTTTCTCCTCCCCCTCCGCAGGGCTGGTGCGATTTATTACAAGATGAACTCATGGGAAAGAAGAGATTGCCACAACTTCAGCTGCGTGGGCCTTACCCAAATAGGGGGGGGGAAAAAACCCAACAAACTAAGTACAAAATCCTGGCCCAGAGGGATCCATGCCAGAAAGACCCAGCACCGGTCCAGAAACCTGGACACTCTGGCCCAGTGCTCCGCACCCAGTTGAAGGGACGTGCGCCGGGGCTGGCCGGCTTTCAAAGTTCCTTTGGTTCGGGAATGACGGTGGGAGGGGAAAAGGACTCGGATTTTCTGAGAAACTCAAGTTTGGTACCCAAGGGTCCCCTCTCTCCATTGAGGGACTTCCCAGGGTTCAGCAAGTCACGGCAGGACACTCCTCCTTTCAGGAAAAAATGGACTGGAGGAACCGGTGCCCAGCCCTGGACGGGGGCCCTGGGAAGCAGGAGGCTGAGGCCGCGGAGGGGAGCGCTCGGCACGGCTGCGGATGTTCCCAGCTCAATTCTGGCCTCGCAGCAAAAAATTATTTACTCTATTGGAGGAAAGTTTTTCGTTAATTGGTTCATGAAGCCGGGAGATGGCTGAATTCGGAGAAGACTGCGGCGCGTCTGAAACCAGAGGATCCAAAGAACCGCAACCCGGGGCAGAAGGGGATGAGGACCCGAGGCAGCCGCGCAGCGAGACGACGCTCAAGAGGGAAGAAAAACGAGGGGCGGGGGGGAAGTTTTCCATGTAAGGGGGACATGGAGGAGTTAAAACCAGAACTACCGCCGCGAGCACGGCAGGGTTTGGCCAGAGGAGCCTGCAGCAGGTGAACCCCCCCGTGGGTCCGGGCCACGACCGAGGGGCTGGGGGAGGCCCCGCCGCCGGGAGAAGCGTCAATCGTAAATCAAGAGGCGGCCGCATGTTCCGTGTTCTGCACACAATGCAAGAAAAGACCAAAACACAAACAAAACACAAACAAAAATAAAAGTCTCCACACCATAATAAGACAAAGTTGCCTCTAAGCCGTCATTTGCTCACCAGGAAACAAAATTAAGTTCATCATCAGGGCGTGAATTAACGACCTCTCACGCTGCATGGAAATCTATAAGGGGCTATATGTGGTTTGCAGAGAACAATTTTGCTCAGGATGTGTAATAATCGCTCTAACTGTCTAGTCGCCCTCCAGGTCCCTTTGGAGAGCGTTACAGTAATGCTGCGCCTCTTAATGTTTTATGAGTGGCGTTGGACTTTACAGGCAAGGGCTGAGAGGCTGTAAAAGCTTTTAGGCTTACACCACCAGGACCCGGGCGTTCGGCAGCACCAGGAGGGTTTGCCTTGCCCCGGCATGGCCCCTGCTGCCGGCGGGTCCTGCCGAGCTGCCCCGGCTCGTGATGCTCTTCACTCCTCTCTCACGCTTACAGGGCGGCGAAGGGAAGCCAGGGCTTTCTGCAACTGATTTGTGTGTGTGCGTGTGCGCGCGTATGTGTTGTGGTTTGCCAACAGCCTCTCTAGGCTGCAATAAAATTTCATGATTAGCAACCTAAAAGCTTCCCTTCCCCCCCCGGCTCCCGGGTCGGATAGTAGCACTGGTCCCAGAAAGGCATTAAATCCCCCCTCACATGGTTTTCCTATCGTGTTCGTCCACCGCAGCAACGACCATAGCCAAAAGCTGCGTCCGCACCCCCCGCTCTCGGCAGGGGCAGCGAGAGGGGTCCACGCAGCCAGCGTGGGGACCGGGGGAGCCCCAGGGACAGCGCGGGGGCTCGGTGAGATACCACCCTCTCCGTGCCGCTGAGCGGTGCCCAGAGCATCATCCCAGGGCTGACGAGGGACGTGGGATACAGGACCTGCTCGTGCCGGTCCAACTCCAGACTCACTTAAATGGCTTCTGCGCAGAGAAACGGAGCAAGAGGCGTGAGCTCGTGCTAAGAAAAACGAAGAAGAGCAAGAGGGGTAGAGAGATGGGGGCAAACCGCTGGCCTGAGACGTGCCGAGCAGCCCTGCACCCCCGAGCAGGGCAGGAGAGCCCCCCCCGGGGAGCCCCGCGCAGCCCCCCAGCAGGTTTAGCCTCTGCTGGAGGAAGATATTTGAGCCAGTGCCGGCCGAAACGGTAACAGATTTCACAAGGTTATCGAATGGCATCACTGAAATTAGTTCACAGTTGTCTCCTGACGCACCAGCAGTAAAAACGAACCCAAATTACAAGAGGCTGATAGTTCCTTTTCTGTGTCACAGGCACTATTAAAAGCTCGCTCGCACAAAGCACCAGGGAGAGCTGCAGCAGAGTCAAGCTGTTCCTGCAGCTATTAGGAGCTGTGCAGAATCCACGTTTCACACATGTTCGGGGCTGCTCTGGCTAATAACGCCGGCGGGGACGCAGCCTGCGGCCAGGCAGGTCTCTTTTTTTGGAAGCTGGGGGGGGAAGGCAAACACGCAGATGCGGTGCAGGGACGGAGGAGCCCTCGGCATCCCGCCCCGCTGCACGCCGGCAGCCCGCGGAGAAGCCGAACGCAGAGCCAAGTTTCGCCCAAGTCCCTAAAACATGGACCAGCACACACAGGAGGGCTCGCGGGGTGGACGGGGAAGGGTCCCCAGCGCGCCGGCTCCCCGCAGCACCGGGGAAAGGGCGCTCTTGCATAAGGAGCGTGAATCAGGTCTTTGTTACCCGATATTGCACAACACCAGAGAAAGAAAATGAAGCAGCAATGATCAAGTAAGGAGCTGAAAAATATTACAAAATCTTAATCCGCCCCATGAGACCCTCTAGGGTGCTTTCAAATACAGAGAGAAATTGCCTAATTAGCTTTTTTTTTTTTTTTTAAATGGATAATTGCCTTCATGAGCTTTCACAGGCAGCTTAGCAACCTTTTAACATAGGCGCACACGCTGCATGGAGCGGCAGAACGTTTCTGAAAGGGGTTTTATACCTTTCCCGAAGAGCTGCTGACAGTAAACCTCAAGCAATACAGGCAGGGGCTGTAATGGGCACTTGGGTGTCGTTAGTAAAAACACTATTCAGAGTTCGCTGGTCAATACGTGTTCACATAAAAGGGCAATGTTCTAATATTCATAATCCCAGGGCCCACAGGGCAGGGTTTTAATGAAAGTCTGTACAGTTCTGGTCTCTGCAACATCAAAGAGGCCAATAAAACTCCTCTCACATGCTGACAGGCGAAAGTCAGACGGCGAAGGCAGGACTGGGAAAAGGCCCCGCGCAGCCCCCGCGTTTGCCTCGGCCGTGCAGCTCCCGGCACGGGGAAGGGGCACGGAGGGTCCCTCCGCCCAGGGAAGGGGCCGAGCACCCACCGTGGCGCCCGGGGAGAAACCGTGTGTTTCTGCTAAAGTCCCGTGCGAGGAATACGAACCAGATGTGCGCCGAGGAGGGCACCCAGGTGATGCGGGGCAGCCCGCATCCTGCGCGCCCCGTCAAT